GGTTGCCAGGGCCTCTTATTAGTCACTTTCTGTCATATTTTGGGACCTTGACTTTCTAAAGTACCAGTATTTTCACAACTGCACACTGTGAGGTAACTCTGAACCCCCAGTCATTCTGCTGGGATCCCTGCCCCACAGAACACACATTGAAAACACAAGCAAAGCCAGCAGAAAAGGGGGACAACACAGAGGCAGCCCCACTTCATTGTTGCCATGACAATCAACTGCCTCCAAGACTTTCCAAATGATGGAAGCAGCTCTGGTCTGCTGAGGGCCCTTGCCCTGCATCTACAGGGGTCAGCAACGCCTAGGCATGGACAAACTGCAGCCAACTGTCAATCAAATCCGCAGGGTTCAGTTCCACAGATCTCTGTGTCCACCCTCTGTAGGGGTGAGGCCACGCCCCCTGTAGAGACGTGGATAATATGAGCTCACCCCTACAACCCTCTGTTTTGCTCCATCTACACGGGGCCAGGCTGGAGCCTCAGCACTGGGCTTTGAAATGGCACTGAAAACATCTCATTTTCCCGGAGGGATTCTGTCACTACTTATTTTATTCACTACCTAACCTTGAGGAACAGTACACAAGTGTTTACTAAATTATTTTAATGCTGATAGCCATGACTCCAAATGTCATTTCATTAGCAGAATGTTTAGCATGATGCTAAGTATTTAGCACCTGGTAGTTTGCTGAACAATCCCCCACACAATCCCCCCATGCTTTTTTTTTTTTCAAAAAAAAAATCAGTTATGCTATCCTCTCCAGTACCAACATTAATTTAAGTAGCAGAAAAGACAGAATCTAAAATCAGACTAAACTGATTATTTTGCTAATCAGTCTTGTTGCTAATGTCTTCAGGCCATGTTTCCCCAGCGGGCCAGGGGCTTTCGTTAGTGGGCACTAGAGTAGACTCGTCTTCATTTTTCCGGAGACAGGAGAAGGAACTGCTGTGGCTGGCTGAGGACCAGTAATCCCTGCATCGCCCAAGGCTGGAACAGCAGGCGGGCAGGATGACTGTAAAAGGAAGAGAGCAGCACCGCCAGCCGCTCTCATGCCCTCTCACCCAGGCTCCTCGGGCCTCAGAGGATCTGCCAGAACAACTGAGAAGCCAGGGGAAGCAGAAATAGAGAAGGGAACATCAAGAATAGCACTGGGCATCAGAATGGACCTCAGGGATTTCCTACCTGGGTCTCCAGATCCCTCCTGACACCACCCAACAGGAGCTAGCTGAGGCAGAAATCAGCTGTGAAGTGTGCCACAGCTGTCTTCATTCTCTCCCTGACAAAGTTAAGAAAGTGCTGTGGAGCCACTAGAGTACAGGCCAGCATCCCCAGGTTCCCAACTTCAGGTTGCCTCAGGCTTGTCTAGCTTGGACACCTTGGGCCCACCAGCTTTTAGATTACCCCCTTCATGAAGGAAACCAGCATGTGATCATGATGTTCAGCTGCCCATGCAAAGGCTCCCTCACAGCTGTGTGGGATGCTGTCTATATCCCTGGTAAACAGGAGTCTGAGGTAAGAAAGCGCAATGTAGCCAGGCAATCCAAAGGGGAAGATCCACGGAGGGCCTCGGGGCCTCTTCATTCTGGAAGGCCTCCGGTGAATAGTGCCATGGAAACACATGTTGGTCTGTAAGGTCCTCTGCACCAGGCCATGGGAGAGCAGATTCTCCATCTTCCCAATGTCTTTCCTTATCTCCATGGCCCTAGAGACCATGGCCTGACTCTTAAGCCCTGTAGCGCCACCTACTGGGAGAGGCAGAAGTCAGATCTACAGCTGGTCCTGAAGAGTCTGTTCCTGCAAGATTATAGTCAATTATGCATCCAAGCCCTTGCAATGAGCTTCTACTTATACTATGAAGTATATCCAAAGATCAGCAAGGCCTCAAAAGCCTCTATTTGGTATCCCCTTGGGCTCCTTTAGCATATCCTATTCAAAGAAGAGCCCACCCAAAGCAGTTTTGGGTAGAAGAGGCAATTTAACGAATCCTACATCTTTTCCAAGACACTAAGAGAAGCGCACCAGGGCAAGGTGGGGGCATCCTTAGTGGCTCACCACTGTGTTGACAAGGCATTGTTATCCTTGTGGCTTCTGGTCTCCCAGAATAGAAGATTAAAAAAGCAGGGAGACCCCACAAACCATCTTAGGAGGCCTTATAGTAACATTCCTTTGCATAACACCCAAGGTGAGGTACATTAAGTCCTATGTGATCTGCTAAGCCTCATTACTTGTCTTCTATGGAAATAAATAATTATTGACTCTCTTCCAGTGTGTTGGTATGCTGTACCCAGCCATTCCCAGGTGCAGCATTTGGAACTCAAAAAGCCCCCTTCCTCCAGCTTCCTCCACGTAACTTGCAGAGATGGAGAAACTGATGTGAAGCCTTCTTCTAACCTTCAGCAGCTGAGGGGAAAGCCATGCAGGTCTTGGACCACTTGAAACAGTTAACTGTGGTCATTGTGTTATTACTTTATTTTAAATAGCTACTATTCACTGAGTAGTTTAAAGAAAAGCAGTGTGTTTTCCCCTCCTCTTTGCCTTGTCTCCAGCAGATAGGGGACATTCTGATGTTATTGTGTTAAATGGTTGAATATTAAGACATTCACTTGCTAGCTGGAGCCTACACTGGCTAATCAGAACAGAACAGTGGAAGCCTGGAATAGGACCAGTGCTGCTGGGGGCACCAGAAGTAAGGCACAGCCTGAAGTCTGAGGACACAGCCCCTCCCTCCCTCAACTTCCAGGTTGTTTCAAGGCGCTGGTCTGTGATCGCCACCGCCTGAACCTCACAGCTCCTAGGTGCACACACACCGCTGAAAAGCCATGGGAAGGAGATGCAACCAGTCCCTCCAAGCCTGTCAGGAGAGAAGAAAACAGCCACCTGGCAACTCATTTGCTTCTCCACTCTGATTGGTCACCGCTGCTGTTCTGAGGTCATCAGTTGGCTCCTCTTCTCTATGCCTTCTGAAACTCTAGCCCCCAACTATGTTTCATCATGAGTTACTAAGCCAGCCACTGCTTTCTTGTAAATATTCGCACTCCCCCAGGTCTGTCCTTCCCACCTCTGCCACCTTCTCCAACCCTTCCCAGAAGCCCAGCCAATCAAGGAAGAGAAGGTGGGAGGCAGAGGGGGACAAGGACCCCGGTGCTCTTTTACCTAAGAGCCAACCGCATGTAGGGATGGAGGCGAAAGTGCTCCTGAGAATTATGTAACCACTGCAGCTCTGGGGGAGCGTACCGTCCAGGTTGCTATAGTGTTTGCTGGCTTCCTGCTGGATAGGTAGAGTTCCTGGCCACTGCTCCCTCCTCTTCCCCGACATCCTTCACCAGAACCTGTATGGTTGCTACTCCTACATTTAATGTCTGCTCCCTGCAAGGGGTCTGGGGATGATGCTGAGAAGCCAAGTGGCAAAAGAAAAGAAGCAAAGTAAGGAAGTAAACTAAGAAGGGATTCATCTGACACTCCTGGAGACCTTTCCAACTGTGGGTATACCTGCTTTATGAGTACATCTCACCCTCAGTAGTAAGAGCTAGGGCAACACTCCTGAGCTCTCGGCCAAGTTGCTTAGACTGAGAGATCTAGCCCACCCCCACTCCTCGAAAATACCACCCTTTCTTTTGTGTCTCATTCTCTCCTCCTCCTAATCCACCCAGAACTCCATCGGCTAGGAGAGGGATCCGAGGACAGATGAAGGAGGAAGGGTGGGTACCTCAGAGACAGGGGTTACCCTTATGGCATCAAAGACCAGTATCCACCACCCTTGGAAAGTCTTTCTTCTTAAGGAGGCCAAAACCCCAACGCTGCCACCCAAGATGGGAAGCAGAAAGACAGACGGCGTGCCCCAAATCAGCTTCTGGATGAAGACCAGGCAGTAGAGCAGCACTAATCCGCAAAGGCAATGGCCCTGTCCCCAAATGTGATGAAAGGGAGAAAGGAAGGGGCTGGACACCGGGCCTGGCGACTACTTCTACAAAGCTGGGCTGTGGAGAGTCACTAGGAAGTACCCTGGCAAGGCAGGGAGAGACACGATGTGGAAGAACGATAAGGGGGCAGAGAGGCTGTGCAAAGGGCATCCTGAGAAGACTACAAGACACTTCAGCTTGATCACCTTAATCACTGAGCAATGTCAAATAATAACTTGTCGATGGGAATTGAGGAGGAGAGGGAGAAAGTTTCCAGGAAGTGGGGAGTTACCTGAAAGCCTTTCACCATCAGAGGGGGAGCTGGAGACACTTGATGCCCAGCATGGAGATGCTTAGAGAACACTAAGTATGGAGCCTCAGAGCTAGTCACACCCTTTCGTGATTCTCTGAAAACATGAAAAAAAGCGAAGCCCACACATCACCGGGCGTTCCAGCCGCTTCCATCCTCAGGTGCGAGTCCACACAGGAGTGCCAACAATCACACACCTGGCGTGGGCTCGCTCGGGGTCACTGGCAATGGAGAGGTGGGCGGTGTTGAGGAGCCAAGGAGCAGAGATGGAGAGAGGAGGCGCGCTGAGACGCACAGCTGCAGCCCCCGCCCCCACCCCCACCCGCGACCCGGAGCGCACTGACTGAGGAAGTGGCGCCGGGAAGAGTGGACGCGGGGCAGCCTGGGGGGCCACCGGCGCGGGGCTGGTCTCCGCGGGGTGCGCGCCCGCGCGCGTTCCCTGCCGCGCCCCGACAGAGCGAGGGACCCCGACGACGCCGCTCCCCAGCTGGCCGCGGCCGGGCCGGCCGGCTTTCGAGGCACCGGCGAGAAATCCAGGCAGCGCCGACACTTGGGGAACTTTCCCCCTCGCCCGGGATTTTCATGGGAACCACATGCTCCGAAGAAGCCGGGCCGCGGAGGGGGAGGGGCGGGAATTTTCCGCTCCGGCTCGCACGGCGGCTCGGCCGGCTCCCGCGGGCTCCCGCGCGCGGCGTTGGCGCCCCTCGCGCACGCGGCGCGGGCCGCTCCACAGGGACCCGCCGTGGGCAGCACGGGCGAGCCGGGTGCGGCGATGGGGTCCCGCTTACCTTGATGGTTTTCCTCTGGAACGTACATCCTCGTGTTTTCATTGACCATTGGCCAAAAACTGCTTGGAAAGGAGAAGCCACAAAGAGGAAGAAATGCAGCAACAGCCGCGAGCGGGTCTGGCTGAATCCCTCCTCCTCCGAGGCCGCCGGCGGCTTTCGCGCAAATCGAGGAAGCCGTGGATCCGCAGTGTTTCTTGCTCCCTTCGGGTGATTACCTGATCCCCATTATTGCACCAAACACCAAAAACTGCTGCTTTCCACTACCGCCTCCTTTCGTGAGATTGTAATGCATCCTCAGTACATCCGGGCCCCTTCCAAGAATTTAGCACCGCACCTCTGGCGGCTACACCATTGGAAAAAAATAATAATAATAAATGGAGAGGCAGAGCGAGAAGAGGCGCAAAGGCGAGGCGAGGGAGAGCGGCGGGCCCGCGGCGCGGGGTGGACCCCGAGCCGCCAGGGGGCCAAGGCGTCTCCGGCCCGCCCAGGGCGATCGCCGAGAGGCCCCGAGCCGCGTTCTTCGGCGACAGCAGCCGCGAACACCTGAGGGCGAGCCCTCGGGAAGCGCCGCCGCCGCTCCGGGCCGCGCCGCGCCGAGCGCCGTTCTGGCAGGGAGCTGTTTCTGCAGAGGCAGCGAGAGGGAGACACCGGGCGCGAGAGCGCGGCGCGGCCTCCCTCCTCCCTCCAGCCCCGCCGCGCCCGCGCCCGCCCCTGCCCGCGCCCGCCCGCCCGCCCGCCCGCCCGGCGCGCCGGAGCAGACGCGCTGAACGCTTCCAGATGTGGCGGCGGCGCGCGGCGGGGACCGGAGCCCGAGTGGAGCGGCGGCGCCACGCGAGAAGCCCTGGCTGCGAGACGGCGGGGAGCGAGCCCGGGCGCGGACACACCTCCAGGCGCCGGGCCTCGGCCTGCCGACCCCCCACCCTCCCGAGGCCCCCCGCGGCTCCCGCGCGTCCCGGGGATGGGGGGGCCGGGGAGCAAGGGGGGGTACCGCCACGCCAGCAAGGCCTGGGAGGGGAATCCCGGGACCACGGAATACAATGTGCCCAACTCCCCGGCCTCTTTCACGTCGACCGAACGAAACGGCAAAAGGAACCGGGATTCTGTTGATCAATTACAATCAGAGCGGTTGTAGAAGTGACACATACTGGCGAGGATGGGCAGATGGGCGGGGAGAGAGAAAGAGCCCAAGAGGCGGAGCCTCGTGGGCCAGGCAGCGGTGGTGCCCAGATGTCTGAACAGATTAATACCGGCAGGTTTGCTCCCTCCTGGGGGGCAGGCGAGCACGTGTTCTGCCAGTGTACCTTTACCTACTTCTCTTAATTATTTCTGCCACCCTGGCAGGGAGCAATGAAGCACTTCTCTCTGACACCCGCTGTCACAGTTTATCCAAAGCACCTCCTGCAGGCACGACCCTCTAGATGGGGCTGGTGAGCCCATTCTGGGAGGGCCTACCACTGGGAAACCCGGTCTAGATAGCAAGCAGCCCTTAGACTGCCTCACTCCCTGTCTCCAGGTTCCCTAAGTGACCCTGTCGTCTGTCTACATGGCTTTAAGCAAGGGGCTCTGTCAGCTGTGAATCTTCCATCTAGACCTTTTTCTGAACCATCCGCCAGCCAACTTGCCCTGTCTGTTTGGGAATGAAACCTCATATATCCATGCCTGCTCCTCACACAGCCACATCCCCCAGCTCAGCTGACCCCTCTAGCTACTCATGTAAGAACCCTGGAGTCGTCTTGGCTTGATTTCTCCCACCGCCTCGCATCAGTGTATCACGGCATCCACATTAGACAAAATGCAGTGTAACCTTCCTCACTTTTTCTGGTGACCCCTTCCGGGGCTGAGCCGGCAGCAGCTGGTTCTCTTTGGTCACCCTCCTCTCAGGTACGTTCTCCCCACAGCGGTTGGAACAACCCACTTAAAATGATGCTGTTCTAACCCAGACCATGCAGTGGCCTCTTTGTCACTTCAGTGAAAGTCGCAATAGCCTACCGTCACCGTTTCCTACCGCTTTCCCTTGCTGCTTCTCCAAGCACACCTGAAATGGTCCCCTCGCCCTGCACATGCAAACCTCTTGTCCTCAGCTCGACTTGTCCCTACCTCCTGCAGTGTTCCTGCCATAGACACCTTTAGAAGATGCTTTCACTCCTTGGAGACCTTGCTCAGAGTTCACCTCAGTGGCCCCGTCTTGCTCTCACCCAGAGTAAAAGCACAGCAGCCTGACAACCATCACCCGCCGTTCTCATCTCCCTATACTCTTCTTCTTACGTCGTACTTCTTCCCTGGATAACAGTGCATAGTTCAACTTTTTGTTATTTTGTTTTCTCTCCCTCTTCTCTGTCAGGCCCCCCTCCACCCCCGCCCTCAGAGTTGCTCAAAGGCAGATGTCTTGTCCATTTTGTTCAACAGTGCGTAGAGCGATGTATGGCAGGTAGCAGGTACCCAATACATTCACGTTGAGTGAATGAATGAATGAATGAATGAATGAATGAATGAATGAAGAGTTTCAGGAGTACCACTAGCTACATCATCTCAAATTGTCTCCCTGGCCACCGCTTGAGACCTAAAACCTTACCACTCCTCATTTTCCTTTGTTCAGTTGGTTCCTTTGGCACAAAATTAAAATGCAAGATCCCACCAGGAAGATATTAAATTCTATCATCTTGATTCTATGTCAATAGTGATCTAATTGTTTGTTGTTGCTGTTATTGTTATAAGGGCTATACCTTTGCCATCCTGGTATGCCATTACCCAACTTTCAATCTCCAGTGTAAGAAAGAGAATTAGAAATTACACAGTACCATTTGGGGGAGATTATTGGACTGCATTTCAAGGCTGAGAGTAGCTGATTGCATAAGCCATTAATAAAATCGGTTTGCATTCCCATTGCATCCTGTGGCAAAAGAAGAGTGATGCCTAATGTTGTCACATCCTCTGTGCCAGCCATGGAGTAATGCTCTAGAGGCATTGCCTTGCTGAATGTTCACTGCTACATCATAAGGTAGGAATTATTGTCCCTATTTTACAGACAAGGGAAACTAAAACTCATGTTCCATGGCCAGGGGCACCCAACTGGGACTTAGTCCAGAAGAACCTGATACCAAATTCATGTTTCTTGTATTATCCTGCTCTCTGCTGAGAGGATGGCCAAGGGTGACATGGCAAGGGGTAAGAACTGACTGCAAAATGTATTTCACAAAATACTGTGGACTTGAGAACCGAGCACTTGTGTGTTGGGGGCACCACAGGTTTGATTGACAGCCTGACTTTTCCATAAGAAGGCAATGTAGAACCCTAACAGGCAAGCATTACCCCCAGGCTGCCTCACTTTTCACTTCCCAGAAAAGGTTATCTCCTAAATATTTGGTCTCCAAAATATGCCCATATCCCACTTTCTAACTTTGGAACCCAGCCCTGAATGTTCTTCTGCAAGGTAACAAATTCTCCACCCATCAGAGACCATTTAGAATTGTGATGTGGGGATGTGGGAGGTGGCAGGAGCAGAAGCATCAGCCTGCCTCTCCTTCTCTGACTGCTTTGACCCTAACTACAAGTCTTCTCTCTTCTCCTCCTGCTCCCCAAGTCTTTCCCTATGCCATGCCTGCCACATAACATTGGACCTGTGCACATGCCATGCATGCCAACCCCCCTCTCTCTCTCTCTCTCTCTCTCTCTCTCTCTCTCTCACACACACACACACACACACACACACACACTCATGCAGGCACGCACTCATGCAGGCACACACACTTCTTACATCTTAAGTAAGTGAACAGTGCTCCCTCCTCTACATGGTGCTTTGTACATATGGACACTCAAAGTCTACTAAGGTATGGCTTACTCTGGGTAAGATTCTACTTCGTGAGCACAAATAACTTCCTTTGCAAACAAGAGCTCCATGAATAAATTCTTCACTGCAGTGTATTTATGTGTCTGGGAAAACATGAAAATAATCTAACAAAATTTTGGTTAAACAATAATATTTCAAAATTATTTGTGTCTTTCTGTCTCATACATGTGAAGTTGCTTGATTTTTAGCATAGCCCTGTGAAGTATTTCTGTTCCCACATTACAAGGGAGAAAACCATAGACAGAAAGATTTGTCCACTTGCTCATGTTTTCATAGACAGTAAGTGTGGGGTTTGACCCCCGAGAGGTCAAGGGCTCTTAGCCATTCCACATATAAACTAGGGCAGATCAACGTAAGAAAATCCAACTGGTGCAAATGATACTACAGAGAAATATTAGTGATGAGAAAAAAGTTACAAAATATCATATAATGCATGGTTCTCTCTTTTTTTTAAGATGTGGATTCTTGAATTAGGAAAAAGACAATAGAGGGCCCCACCAAAATACTGGTGGTAACTCCCTTGGGCAGCTAGAAGAATAGGAAAGTTTTTCTTCATCTTTCTTCTTATCTGACCATAAGTGTGGGAGCCAGGCTACCAAGCAGACACTCTAGTTTGTAGGCAGCTACATCCCAGTCACAGGAACCTGGGGCCCATTGCCTTGCCAAAAGCTAAGTCCCAAAGTGCCCTCTGCCCACCCGACAACCACTTAACCCTCACATTACCACACACCTGCAGAAATTCCCTTGGATGGGAATTTTGTCAACTTGACAGAAGTTCATTGCATAGGACATAATCCTCTACATGTGCCTGTGAAGGATTGATTCATTTAGGTTAATTGATGTGGAAAAGACCCATCTTAAGTGTGGACCTCTCCATTCTGTGTGCTGGGGAAGCCTAACTGAGTAAAAAGGAGGCTAGAGGAGCAGGGTTCCTCACTCTGCTCCCTGACTGCTGATGCTGTGATTGGCAGCCTCAAGCTCCTACAGCCACGCCTCACCCACCGTGATGGACTGTACACTCAGTCTGTGAATCAAAACAAATCTCCCCTCCCTTAAATTGTCTTTGCCAGATGTTTTGTCACAGCAACAAGACCAAAAATCCTGAAACATTCCCTGAACAGTGATTCAAGCCCACATGTACTGTTAGGTCCTCATTCACCCAAGTGCCTGGCTAAGCATCAATCACTCTGCTTGTGTCAGAGTGCTACTGGCAAGGAGGTAGGGAGTACCATCTAACACCAGTCTTCTCAGACGACGTCTTGTTACTTAACCCATAGTTCATGAGAGTCTGTGTATGAGAGTGGGAGTCTGAAATCAGGTAACGAGCAAAGGAAGGAGGCCTCAGGAGGGTCCACGGGCTGCTTTCTTCTGCTAAGGGTCCCTAGAGCATACTCTGTCTGAGGTCAGGACCTGGAAGTAGCACTGTGGAGTCATCCACTGGTCAACTTAGCTGCCAGGGCCTTCTTTTTCAGAATTACCTTTTTTTAAAGATTGTATTTATTTATTTGTTATGTATACAACACTCTGCCTCCATGTATGCCTGCAGGCCAGAAGAGAGCACCAGAACTCACTATAGATGGTTATAAGCCACCATGTGGGTGCTGGGATTTGAACTCAGAACCTCTGGAAGAGCAGCCAGTGTCCTTAACCTCTGAGTCATCTCTCCAGCCCTTTCCCAGGGCTTTTATACAAAGTTGTCACTAGTCAGGAGGTTCAAACAACAGTAATGTATTCTTCCTTCTTTGGTGACTACAGCTTCAAAACCAGGCAGGGTCATGTGTCCTGCTGGGGCTCTAGGAAAGACACATTCTTCTTTTCTTCTAGCTTCTGGTG